ATGTGCATAACAATCATTCCATAAACACCATCGAAGATGCCTCAGTGGACTTTGTAAGCACTAATCCATCCCTACGCTAAATCATGAACATGAATGCCCTACAATTGTCACTCAGCTCCCACATAGAAGAGTCAAAGGAACAGACAAGTTTCCAAGCACCTTAATGACTTCGATGTTGATTTGCCTTTATTTATAGCCCATCCATCTCAACCCACATCATCCAACTCAGGGGACTCGGCTTATGATTCAGATAGCTCTACTGCACATCCACTTACGAACTTCATTTCTAATATTCATTTTCCCCAGTCACATAAGGCTTTCCTTATTGCCATTGACAAATACAATAAGCCTAAACACTTTACAGATACAATGCATCATCCTCACGAGAGAGAAGCCATGGCTAAGGAAATTGAAGCCTTAGAATGAAACAGGACATGGATAATCGAGAATTTTTCTCTTAGAAAATGTGCAATTGACTCCAAGTGGGTTTACAAAATCAAATATAAACCTACAGGGGAGGTAGATCATTATAAGGCTCATCTTATCGCCAAGGGATACACACAGTAAGAAGGAGTAAACTTTCATGAGACCTTTGCACCAGTGGCTAAGTTAGTCACCGTTCATTGTCTTCTTGCTGTAGCAGCTAAGATGAATTGGTTTGTCCACCAACTAGATATGAATAATGCTTTTCTTTACGGCGACTTGGAGGAGGAGGTGTATATGAAGATTCCTCAAGGCTTTCAACATCATTGACATAATCAAGTATGTCGATTGTAGAAGTCACTCTATGGTCTATAGCAAGCTTCTCATAAGTAGTACTGCAAGTTTACTACCTCTCTCTTATCATGAGGCTTTGTTTATTCAAAGGCAGACCATTCGCTCTTCCTTCATCGACAAAGGGAGCGATTCACAGTTGCACTCATTTATATTGATGATATTTCTACTTGTGAGTAATGATGAGAAGCACATACCTGAGATAAAAGCTTGCCTTCATCAATGCTTCAGCATCAAGGATCTAGGAAAGTTGAAGTATTTCTTAAGCATTGAGGTGGCACTTTCCAACGAAGGTTTTGTTCTTAGCTAGCGAAAGTACACCCTTGACATATTAAAAGATTGTGGAATAATGGGTTGCAAGCCAAGCTACACTCCTATAGAATAAGGATCAACTGAAGATGAGCCTAAGATAGATCAAGAACGCTATTGCAGGTTAATTGGGCGGTTACATTATCTCACTACCATGTGACCAAACATTACTCATGTAGTGAACATTTTCAGTCAGTTCGCTAGTTCTCCATGCAAACTTCACATGGATGCAATAGAATGCATTCTCAAGTATCTAAAGGCCACTTTTGGTAAGGGGATCATTTTACGGAGCTTGGGCTCACTAGGATTGGTAGCATACTGTGATGCCAATTGGGCAGGCTGCCCCATGACTTGAAGGTCATGTACAGGATATTTCATAAGCCTTGACGGGTCCCCTATTTCCTACAGATCCAAATGACAAAGTGTCATCTCAAAATCATCCGCCAAGGCAGAGTACCGTGCCATGGCAAGTATAGTTAACGTGGTAATATGGTTGAGCTGGTTACTTAAAGAGCTTGGAATATAAATGTTTGGTGCAACACCGCTGTACTGTGACAATCAAGCTGCACTTCCCATTGCAACAAACCCAGCCTTCCATGAGTGAACCAAGCATCTCAAGATGGACTACTTTTTTTTTCCAAGAATGCATTCAATGAGGAAAGGTAGCTCCTCAAAAGATCTGGACCAAGTACCAGATAGTAGACATCTTCACAAAAGCTCTAAGTAAGGGTCGACTGCAAGACTTAGTTAGCAAGTTGGGCACTACTAATCTTCATGCACCAACTTGAGGGGGAGTGAGAGGACGCATGATGTGAGTATTGTGGGCTTGGGCTGAGAATGAGTCCTCGCAACATTTGACTGAATCACATTATATGTAATTATGATTACGCGGGATTCATGCATATCATGCACCAAAGATTACGTACCAAAGATTACGCTAGAGTTGTGTATATAGGTTGCACTGTGTACTTTTACGGATGGAATGAAATACATACTCACCAAAATCTTTATGCTTTTTTGCCGATGGCTTCTGTGACTCGTGAATACTATTTTTGGAGTAGACCGAAGCGACCTGAAAGCTTCAGACTTGAAAAAAAAAGAGCGGCTGAAAATCAACTGTGAGTGTCATTATTGAAACTGTAAGGTGAACTCAATTCTTCACGTGGTAGAATTATCGAAAACCGATTTTTTTTTTTTTTGGATTAAAGTGGCTGGCACTAAAACTCAAGATTATAAGCAAAATATAGCCTGCAACCTCTCACTCTAGATTGGTTACTAAATTATGTGCCACTAGCTTAATTAAAACCGATTTTAATTAAATTGATATCTTTTTAATTGTATATTATATATTTTAAATTAGATAGAGTAAAAATGATCTAACAATAACGATGGCAACAACAAAAGTATACAAAATTATAAATAACAAAAAATAAAATTTTCAAAAGTAATGTGAATGAAGATCCTGCACATACTTTTAATATAATCTATAATTCTAAAGTATATTTGTTCATTTGCTTTTAGAAAAGTTTTTAGGAAAGTAAAAAAATAAAATAAAAAAGATTGTATATTGTTTTTTTAAGGCAAGTTCACGTAATTTTTGGACTAGAGCAATGACCAATTCATCAGTTCACTTTTGAATACATTTTTTCATACATGAGGAGAGATTTTGGTTGCTAGAATAAGAAAGATAATAGAATGAATTGAAAAAAAAAACTAAAATGATCAAAATGTGCAAGAAATCTAACTTAATTAACCATGTTCATGAGAAGGAAGAATAGTTTAGTTTAAAGTGTTGAAAGTTATTATTCATGAAATTTAATTTGTGAAGGGTGTGGTGATTTTCACATTTATAATATGTGGTATTGAGTTTTATCATGTTTATTATGCAAAGAATGATGAATTATTTTTTTTAATCAATTTTATTTCAATTCTGTCAAGCAACCAAACATGCCCTATATGTTATATACTTATATCATTCAAATTATTTTTGAAAAAATTGTGTATAAATCTCAAATAAAGGACTTACTCACAAACAAGTCTTACAAAGTTGTGAAAATACAGTGAAATTTTTTTTAGAGTTGGTTTTAATTTGTCACAAGTGTGAAAAGACCTTAGCCCCATTTTTGAATCAGCCTAGTTGCAAATTACAATACCATGTTTGAGAACGAGTTATAAATACAATGGAAGAATGGCATTTTTATTGAATTACGTTTATAATATAGTCCATCTATTAAAAAATATAAAGCATTTTTAACTAAATTTTTTCCTCCAATAAATAAATAAATTAAAAATTTTAAAATTAACATTATATTTTCATATTTACTCTTATTGAATAGAGTGTTTACTTACAAATAAACATTAAATAATTTATTTATTAAAGGTATTTTTTTTAAAAAACTCATTAATTATATTTTGAAATACTAAAAGTATATTAATTTTTTAATATTCAACTAATAAAAAAATATTTTACGGAGGAATGATTTGTTGGAATAAGAAAACGGTGTAACGACTTAAAATTCTTTGAAAAGTAATCGCAAGCCTTAGAAGTGACTTTGTCTGACCGTGCGCGTTTTAAAATTTCATCCGTTCAAGTGATTCTAGTGTTCAGAAAGAGACATACAATTTGCTTTTAAAATTGCATCCCATCATCCATTGTGTTATAATCATGGCCATCCAATTTACAGAGCAATTAAATTAAGTTAGGTCCGCATGTGAGACTCATTATACTATGACTCAGTGTTCATCAAATCTAGATCATCTAAATTTAATTTGAATAATTTGAATTTAAAATTTATAAATTTTATTTTATATTTTGTCAAGATAAAAATCTATAAAATTTGAATAAATCTATTTATCGTCAATCTAGATATTTATACTGTTCAAATTTAATATTAAAAATAAAAAAATTAATTTTTATAAATTAACCATCCAAATTTAATATTAAATTTCCTATAATTTTTATAAATTTTTATTTTGATAAATATAAAGGTTAAAATATACAAAATTCTCATAAACTTTGGGTAGATGCAAAGAACCCATTCACTTTTAAAAATTTAAAATTAATATTTCTAATTATTTTTATTTTTATCAAAAACTCCCTTGCTGTTATTTCTTAATTATTTTACTAGCAAAATTATCATGTCATATTAAAAAAAATTTAATAATTTACACAACATCCAATGTAAATGAATAATAGTTTCATAAAAAATTTATTCACATTTTTTTATTATTATTAATTTACATTGCATGTTACATAAGTTGTTACGTGTATTTTTTTTTTAATATAACATTTGAACAACTAAATATCCAGACAGATTATGAATAGGTTTATTACAAATTTTATAAATTTTTATTTTGATAAAAATAAAAAATTGAAACAGAACCTCCCGAATTAAAGGTGGCTAGTCCAGATCTAATGAGCACCTGCTCCGAACTCGATTTAATTGTTTGTGAATTGGAGGGCCATGATTATACCACAACCAGCGGTGAGGATGCAATTTTAAAAGCAAGTTGATGTGTCTCTTTCTCAACATTTGCCATTTGGGATCACCAGGACGGATAAAAGTTTGAGATGCATAGGGCTGCAGAGAAAGTCGCTTCTAAGAGGATCTGCTTATCCTATTTTGATTTGAGCAAGGATATACCCTCTGGTAGCATCGTTCCAGCCTCCTTGAAGCTCTTTTGTAATAAGCCTCACCATCAGTCTGAGAGGCATTGCCCTCCGTCGCCGTCAAACTTCGAGAGGCACTCCCCTCATAGTCATAGGTAAGTGATATACCATCAATATATATATGTATGTATGTATGTATCTACTGATAAATGTAACACTACAGGATGAAATGCTGTGTGGAAAAAAAAAAAAATTCCACATGATCGACATATGAAAGGGCAATGAATATTTAAAACTTATTTGAAAATATGGAAAGAAATAATCTGAAAATATAAAATAAATGCATTATTACATGATTTTTAACCATTATTTCAGCACAGAAAAGATTACAAATGAAACTTATACTATTACAGTAACATTTCTTGCACTGATTATGATAAGAGGGTAGTGTACGACCCATTACTGAGATGAAAAAATTGGTCAATTAATTAATAAGCGATAAGATGGAAGAGCTAGCAAGTGATCAGCTCTTGGCATTGATAGGCCAAATGTCTCAGACATGTCCAACTGATCAGGAGACTTGTCATCTGGAAGTTCCCAATTGAAGCAGTGCACTAATTGTGCTAAAATAAGCTTCACAGTAATGAGACCCAATTGCACACCAGGACATCCCCTGCGACCTGAACCAAAAGGTAAGAATTCAAAGTCATGTCCTCCATAGTCTATGTTGCTGTTCAAGAACCTCTCTGGACAAAATGATTCCACATTATCAGACCATGTCTTAGGATCTCTTCCTATAGCCCATGCATTCACTATGATTCGTGAATTCTTCCTTATGTGATACCCATTTATTGTGATATCTTCCCTGCACGCCCGAGGGACTAGTAAGGGTGCAACAGGGTATAGTCTCATAGTCTCTTTAATCACCATGTCCAAATAACTCAATCTTGGCAGATCAGCTTCCCCAACCATTCTGGTTTTTCCTACCTGGCTTTCTAGTTCGTGTTGGAGTTTTTCCATCACCCTTGGATTCCTCAATAGTTCTGGGATGGCCCACAAAATGACAGTGGAAGAAGTGTCAAATGAAGCAGAAATCAAATCCAAAAGTATGGCTTTGATATTGGTTCGATCTATGACAAAGTTATGCTGATCATCATAAGTATCCATGCAAGAGAGTAGTATGTCGACGAAGTCCTTGCGTCGTCCACTCTGTCCTCCCGGTGACTCTCCATGCTCTCTCATAATGGTTTCAAATATCTCATCAAGTTCCTTGCTCGTCTTCTGCAGGCGTCTTCTAATGCCCTGAATCAAAAGGGTTTGAATATACTTGGAGATCAGTTCCTTAAAAAAGTTTTCACACCAACAGAATTTAAACTCAATCTGGTGAATTGAGTCAAATATGAACCAACTGGACTAACTTTTCTTGGTTACTTCACCCCACTTTTATTATTAGGCTAGCCTCACGTAGCTTACCACAGCATGATTCTCTTCATTAAGAATCTAAGCTTTCTTCCTTAGAGAGCCTATGTCCCCTGTTGCAATTTACTAGAGGTGATTGAAGTCTGATATCATATAATGCTTTTCTCTATACTTTTTTTTAACCCTTTCCTCCCCTCTAGACAGACTTCGAGCTTCAACTACCTCTATTTAAAAATAACTTCTAATAGTAAGTAGTGAAACTCGGGACGTAGCTGGAGAGGCATAGTTTCTCTCATGGCCAAACGTTGAATAAACCAGAAAGCAAAAGAACTCGGTAGATAATGGTACCTGAATATCAAATGGAGCCAAGAATGGCACGAAATCTGCAATATTGAAGGCTCCAACTAAGTCAAAAACCTCATTAACAAGCCCCTTCAGATCAAACCTATCGTCCCTGTTGCGTCCAAATATCATTTTATACATTATGTCTTCCCCGAGCCGCCCCACCTTCTCCGTGACATCCACCACCTCACGCGCCGCCGCCGATTTCTCAAGCGACTTCACCAACTGTCCCAGCTCCTCCCTTCTTAAGGGACCAAACATCTCCACCTTGGACGCACTCAGAAGCTGCAGAGTGCAGAGCTTCCTCATGCTGCGCCAGTAGGGCCCATATTCACAGAAGGCCATTCCCTTGGAGCCATAAGAGAGGAACTCCGACGCCTGAATTATTGGCCGGCTTGCAAAAACGACGTCGTGCGTCTTGAGGAAAAGCTCGGCAGCTTCAGGGGAAGAGACAATAACAGCAGGGACCTGTCCCAGCCGCAAGGACATGATGGGTCCATAGTGCTTCGCCAGAGACTGAAGGGACCGATGAGGGAGAGTACCCAACAGGTGGAGATTACCGAGAACCGGCCAGGAAGGTGGACCTGGCGGCTTTTTCTGGCAATGCCTTGTTCGTTTAAGATAGAAGGATAGGAACACAGCTGATAGAAGGAAGAGAGGTGAGAGAAGAAGAAGGGAAGGGAAAGGTGGAGGCGGAGGCAACATGTTTGATTGTTTGTCTGAGAGAGAGAATGAACGCGTGAGTAATCAAGCTAGACTAACATAACAGCTGGCCTACGTCACCTTCTTTGACCTTTCTTCTACTTTCAATTTCAACCAAAACTTATGGAAAATATCAAGAATTAAATTCATATCCATTAAAAATTACTTATTAGTAAAATTAAAATTGATACTTATTAATTTAAGTTAATATTTTATTAATAATTATTTATTCAAATTTTAATAATAAATTATTTTAAATTAATAACATCTTATTCGAATTATTTTTTATTTAAATTTTAACAATAATTAATTATTAATTAATATAAAATTTTTTAGTGATCTTTCATTATTATTTTTTCCAACACTTAAGTGGTTTTTTATAGAATCCAAACCAGAATAAAAATAAAAAAAAATAGAATTGAATTGAGTTTAAAAAATATGTTTAAATGAATATAAAATTTTGATATAATTTTAATAAATATATGTGTGTGTGTATATAATAGGAAAGACTAAAATGCTCTTTAAAAAAAAAAAAGTAGGGTGCAATGAAGGGTAAAGAGTTCTGATAAAAGTAATGCGCCCACCGCTTTCATTAAAATGGAAACCAATTCAAGAATTTTTTTAAAAAAATCTATATTCTTAAATGTCATAATTCAAGTATATCAAATAAGCCTCACCAAAGAATTATTTTGTGTTTATAACTCTTTTTTCATAATTCTTGAGTGCCAAACGAGATCTAAATTCCTATAAGCCAATTAATGCGAATAATTAATTAATTAATAATTAATAAATATTATAATTTAAAATATATTTTATCAAAAAATGTAAAATATAGTATGATTAATTGTTACCCACTTCACAGTTTGAAGTTGAAAGTGATTCTATTTTTCAGTTTGGAAAAATGACAATAATTTTTTTAAATATATAAATAATAATTTAATCTCAAAATGTCATAATTTTTTTAAGTCCCTAAAGACTTTTCTATCATTAATAAATTTATATAAATTATTAAATTATTTTTATTAAAAATAAATAATTTACAACTTTTCTTATTATATTCACAACTTTTTTTCTTAAATTCGTATTAATGCAACAACAAATTCAACATACGAAGTTGTAATTTACTGTTATATTGTTGTGAATATAACAAAAAAAATTACAAATATAAAAAAATTGTGAATTATTTATTTTTAATAAGAATAATTTAATAATTTATATAAATTCATTAATGATAAAAAAATTTAAAAATTTTAAAAAAATTATGATATTTTTAAAGAATTAAATTATTATTTATATATTTTAAAAAAATTTTATTATTATTATTTTTTTTCTTTTCGTTTCTATTTTATTGTAATATATTGTTACGAGAGTATGTTGTTTTTATCTCGTAAGATATTTGGAAATAGTGATAAGAATTATCACGGAAGGCCTCCAAAATCAAAGAGATGACATCGTGATTCATTCAACGAATCGGATTTCTCCGGCAGTATCTTTCCGGAAGCAATCTCATCCGCCTGGCCAATAGAGTCGGGAATAAGGGTCGGGCTTGACGGGCCGCCCGTTTAAGCCCGTTTTAATAAAAGTTCGGGCTTAAAAATTTGGCATTTTTTAGGATAACCGGGCTTCAAAACCCGGCCCTTTTAAGCCCTAGAAAAATGGGCTCGGGCTCGGGCGGCCCGTGAAGCCCGTTTTACTATTTACAAAGTATTTTTTTTACCTCTTTTCAGATAATGTGCAAACATTGATTTATATTTTGTACCAGCAATTGGTTGAATTGTTTTGTGCCATTTTATAGTAATTTTTATATTTTATCTTGTGATATATGTATAGATATATATTTGATAATAAAACAATTTAATTAATAATTATTGTAGGTGATGAAGAAGAAGCTGCAGAAATAATTAATATTGAGCCTCTGCCTCCATCTTTCACAAGTAGACCTACATCTGAGGGTTTTAATATTTTATTTATGGATGATAATGAGGGAGATCTTGATTAGGATTGATGATGATGTTTGCCTTCATCTTATTTGGACTTTTAAATTTTTTGTTCATTTTTTAGATTATGTGAGACTTTGGTTTGATATATGTTAAATTTTAAAATATTCTAAATAAATTTTAATATTAAATTTTATTTTATTTTATTTTATTCTTATCTGGGCTTATGGGCCTGGCCCTGAGCCCTATAAATAAAGGTCGAGCTTCAATTTTGAGGTAAAATTAGGATAACCGGGCTTTAGGACCTAAGCCCATAAAAGTCGAGCCCATATGGGCTTGACCCGCCCGTTTACCAACTCTACTGGCCAATATCATGATCCCCACAAGCCAGTTGTCAAGTCATTGAATATATACCATATGTTAATGCCATACCCGAATCCGTGCTGGCCCGCTGCATACTGATAACCCTTTGATTAGGTATCAAAAAATAATTAAGATGATCATGATTTAATTACTATTACTCTTCAAGAAAGTCCTCTTCACCGTAACTTGACTCTTTATATTTGAATATTTGATCAAGTTATTTAAAAGGAATATTAAAAATTAATTAGATTAATTAATTAAAAATTTTAATAATTTACCAGTTACAAATAGTATTTTGATAGAATTGCATTCAAGGCCTCAGGAGCAAGAAATTTGAAAAGAGGGCACAATGAAATATAAAATTATTCGAAAGGTTTAATGGCCTCATTTACAGTTATATTTTTTTTATAAAATAATCAATTTACCCTTCCCATGGTCAGTTGTTGAACACAACACTCTTCTTCTTCTTCCTTCAATTAAATGCGGTTGCTTTGATTTTAATTTACATAGAGAAAACAATGAAATATCTAACAATATTTATTGGAAGATAAATTTTCTTTTTCAATTAATTATATGTAACATTTCAAAAATATAATCCAAGATTAATTAAATTAATTAAGAATAAATAAATAATTTTAAAAGAGTATTTAAAAATAAATAATTCTAATTAAAAAATTATTATTGAATTTAATTTAGCATCAAATCTAAATCATAAATTATAATTTTAAAAAAAATAAAATTATTATTATTATTATTAAAAGAAAAAAAGGATATAAAATAAAAAATTAAAAAAGAAGAAAAAGAAGAAGATTGTGAACGGATTTCATCCGTTTGTGCATGTGGGTGTGGTGTGTGACATTATTTAAAGAAGAAGACAGGATGAAGAAGGGAGGAACAATGAATACCAAAAATTGAAGAAGGTGGGTGTGTTTGGTGTATGTAATGATGATGTGGGACCCACATTACTTCATTTCATACCCACCTCCTCTCTTTCTTTGCATTTATCTTCCTTTTTCCAATTGCCTTTGTGCGCGTTACAGAGAAATGCGAAAAAGAAAAAGAACAGAACGTGTGTGAGTCACTGCCAGTAGGAGCTGATTTAAGTGGTAATGCTTTATAATAAAATATTTTAAATAAAATTTTAAGTATTTTAAAATTAAATAAGTATTTTAAATATTTTTTAATTATATTTTTTCTTGAGTTTCATATTTTGAGATTTTAAAAAATTTAAGGTTTGAAAAAGAAATAAATTTTTAATAAATAAATCTAATTATTAAGGTTTTTAATAGTATAATAAATATTTTAGAGTATTATTTTGTTGATGGAATTTGAATTTAAAGCTTTTTGGTTAAACCTTATATTTTATAGGTAGATTTTTGATTAAATTTAAAAATATGAATTAATTTGTTGATATTTAAATGATTATTTTGGATGAGAAATAAATTATTATAGCTATAGAATAATAATTTTAGGCTTGAGACTAAGTTTGCAATTTTTGAGCATATTTAGATGTGAATTTTTGGAATAAAAAGGGATATTTTGATATTAAAAAATTGTTTGAATGATGATTTTAGCCAAATTTCAATGAAATTATTATGAAGAAGGCTATTGAGTCAAGTATATGGGTTTAAATATATAAAATTGAATTTTACAACTTAAGAGGCTAAGACTAAGGTCTTAAAACAAAAAAAAAAATTGTTAGAATATGAGTGAAAATTGTGTTAATAACATTATTGACACATTGTAATATAATTAAATGTAGATTAATTGTTATTTGGCACAAATCAAGCTTTGAAAAGTTTTGAAAGTATTATCACTTAAGGGATAACCTTTCACCTTTTAAAGATTGAGGTGACCAAGAATAATTTATTTTACGTATTTGTATGTTAATTAATTATTTATGTTTATGAAACAAATAAATATATATATATATACACACAAATCTTGAATTGTTGTTTGTAATGCATATTATGGCTTTATTGAGATCCTATAATTTGTAATTAAGTTAATTGTAACATGATTTGAGTAATGAGATTGATAGTTAATGATGATATGCATACTCTTGATTATAAATTGTGAATTATGCATAGTAATAAATTGTATATGAGCTTGTTGAGTTTTATATGATACTAATGTAATTTATGTGGTGATATAAAAATTGATGCGAGAGGCATGATTGAAATATGATGATTCTTGATGCTTGCTGAACAAGAAAGTTGATGAGCATGTGAGATCATTATAAACTACATATATGAGTTTTTTAAATGCATTTTTTCATGAGCAATTAGCATGATTATATGGCGGGAGTTCACTTTAGTGAAGAAACTAGGAATTGTATAAAATCCATATGGTACTTCACTATTAATCAATAATTCTAATGGTTATAGTCACTACTTACCTTATAGGGTATTGTAACATTATTTATATTAAGAGACTTAATATAACATTCTACTTTAATTTTTAGATTTAATTAGAATTAATAAAAAAATAGAAAGAATGTTTGAAGATAAAAAAATTAATTAGAAGATTTTTTTTTAGTTTAACATAAAATATAATTTTATATTAAGATGTGTTTTTTTAGAAAATGAAATTAAAAAAAAGGATTTAAGGCTTGTTAACTTAAGTGTTAAGTTAAAATATAATAATAATAATAATAATAATAATAATAATAAATGAGAAGGAGCGGCGGTGGTATAAGGAGAATATATATATATATATATATATG